GGCTTTCATGATGTCGCTTCAGGTTGAATTCTTTTGGCACTGCTATTGTTCCATTGCACAAAAGGCAAATAATGCTGTTGTTCTGTTGCACAAAACAGTACTTGTTAGTCCACACTTCCACTTCTTGAAACTGATGATTCTCGCGATTGACCTTGCGTTTAATGCCCGGCGCCATACTGTTCACTCTGCAAAACAATGTCTCATTGTGCCGAAAATTCTGAGGCCCGCAACAAATCATGTTTGAGATAAGGCAAGCTAGACTACCACGTGCTTTGTTCTGTATCCACTCTGACCAAAGACTAAAGAGGCGGGGACAGAAGACTATTACGCACACGTGGCCAGGCAGGTCTTAATTCGTTCGACCCCTGTCCGGGCGTCTCCACCATTTCTCAGAATTTGTGAGTCAGATCGTCAACATGCCAGGTGCAGGACACTAATCCATCATAAATGTGGTTACCATTCTTACCTAAATTATATTTATGGCCCGTCAGTTTTACCCCCGTGTTCAGAAATGAATCAAAAGTGATTAACACAGTGCAGTGGAAAATCTGAATATTTTAAATATAATTATTAAAATTGCGATATCTCGTTTCAAATTGGCGCTAGAATCAATCTGTTTTTTTTTTTTTTTCTGTCCTAAATATATCACAGTTTACGACTGTTAAATTTCAAATAAAATAAAAATTAAAAATAATAATTTAATTTTAAATTTACGAAAAAAAGAATGTAAAAATAAAAGTAAATAAAAAGTTCCAATTAATTTACTACTTAAATAACCTAAATATATCTGTTTTCTTTCAAACAAAAAAAACCGCAGCTTTCTAGCTACACGGAATCATTTTACAACCCTCTTTGTTGACAAGTTTATGGCTTGACGCGGTTTGTAATAATTATTAAATCCAAAATATTTTAATGCAAATGGCTTCCTTTTAGTCGTAATGACTCTATTCCAACTACAGTATTAATTTTCTTGGTCCAACTTAATAATAATAAATTTGATGTGAAAAATTTTTTTTCTATTCTTTGTCTATGGAGAGATATTGTTGTAAATTATTGGTTTTATAGCTTTTTGTACATTCCTTTTTGAACTCTGGTTAGTTTTTTTCTAGTTTGAATGACATTAGGTTGACGAATAAGCGTCTTTTCAGAAAAGATTGATTCAAATTCGACTATACCAATCAGAATCTAGAATGTAAACAAATGCTAAAAAATCGTTATTTTCATGGTTTTTCAGCGCTATTTTCACTTATTTTTGTTATTTGACGCTATTTAGACGAATAGGCAAGTTTTCCGAAGCATAAAATTGAAGATTTCCCGCCAAAATAGAAACTTCCCGATAACATCGGAAATGACGTTCTAACATCATTTTAAAATATTCGATATCTAAAGCAGAAAGTGTTAGCTAAAAATAGACTTATTTATAGAACAATCCCCCATTTCTCACCTCAGGGAAAGTCATAAAACAGTTGGGTGCTAATGACTTTGTGAAAGGGAAAAAGTTCTACACTTAGAAACTTCGAAAGAAGGGATTTGGCCTGTACCGTCTGCGGGCCGCATAAACATTGATAGGGGGCCGTATGTGGCCCGCGGGCCACAGGTTGTGCACCCCTGCCTAATCCATTGTAATGTAGCAAAATATTGTTAAATAAATATGGATTATTGAAAGAAAAGCTATATTATTTTCATTTCTGATAAAGTTTTTTTTATTTTAAATTGATTTCTTGAAAAACTTCTTAACACAGTTCTACTGCATATGTGTTCCTATTAGATACTTATGATTAAATTTAACTGCTTCTATAGGAGAACACGTTTTTCATCAATTTAAAAATAACACATTTATTTCATTTATTTTCCTGTCTATGGAAATTGTTTAAATATCAAAGTTCTCAAGTAATAATAATATAAACTTTAACTAAAAATATTCTTGTTAATACAAATCTTTCTGAATATTTTTTCAATTTTATCTTCAATAATGCTTTATTCATACTACAACACATGGTAATTTATATTTAAATATGCATGGCTGAAATTAAGCAAGTAACAAATTTTGGCAATAAATCAAAATTGTCTATAAATTATCTTTTATTCATCCAATGCATTTGTATAGTGTTGTACTATTTATGAGAACAAGAGAGAATATTTCTTTTCCATTACTCAACATTCTGTTTCACATTCATGATCATATATAATTCTTGAATTTAATTTTCTTTAGAAAGAAAATTTTATTTTTTTTATCATGTAATATAAATACATTATATAATATCACAATATACTATTCATCACAATTACTAGAATCATTTCTATGCTGCTAATACCTCTAACCAGTGATACAAACCCTATACATACTAGAGATTAGATAATAGATGATGAGCAGCTAAATTGAAAAATCAACTGACATTGAAACAATAAAAATCTGTCCATTATCAATTGAAAATATGGCATCAGAATACTTAGTTTTATTAAAAATATTGAAGAAAAATGTTCCTGGTAGGATTCAAACATGTGGTTTACAGCTTAGAAGGTTGTTGCTCTATACAGTGAGTTATGGATGCTATAAAAGAATTTAAAAGAGTAGAGTTGATAATAGTGAGGTTGCAGCTGAAGTTCAAACGTTAAACTTGTACAGCAAGCAGAAGTACACGTTTGACATTTGAACTCCAAGTAAAACACGTTGCACCACACATTCACATCACTCACTCAATGGGATATTGTTGAAAAATGGCGAAAACATTTAACAATGACGAATGTTACCAATGAAGGTAAATAAACAATTAAACTATTTTAAAGTATTTATAGGATGTTTAATAACACTAAATAATTATTTTTATTAGGTTGTTCAGAAAGTAAGTTCATTTTTTTTACCACTAGACATATTAGTCGTATTTTTCTCGCCATTTTTATTCTAAACTGTATTAGCATTATATATTTTGACATCTAGCATTTTAAGGCTTATATGTAAATAATTTCTTTTGATTTTGTGCAATTGTTTATTTTTTGTGTCCCACCAAATATGGAAGATCGAAAGCATCATTTTCGGCATATTTTGCTTTTTTATTACCAAAAAATCAAAATGCTGTTCAAGCAAGAAAAAAATTGTGGTACATGTATAGAGATGATGTGTTAAAAGAAAGACAGTGCCAAAACTGGTTTACAAAATTTCGTTCTGGCAATTTCAATATTGAAGATGCACCACGTTCTGGATGGCCAGTTGAAGCCAATGAAAACAAAATAAAGATACTGATTGAAGCAAACTGCCAAATAACAATACATGAAATCACTAAGAGATTAAATCTGTCAAATTGAACTGCTTATGATTACTTGAAACAAATTGGTTTTGTTTCAAAGTTCAATATATGGGTTCCACATGTTCTTAGAGATATGCTCTCTTTGGTGGGATTATAAGGAAATTTTGTTTTTGGAGCTTTTACCAGACAATTTAACAATTGACTCAAAAGTGTACTGCCATTGAGTAAACAAATTGATTAATATCATCAAACAGAAAAGGTGATCGGAGTTGATCAACAAAACAGGTGTAGTGTTTTACCATGAAAATGTCAAATTTCACACAAGTTTGGTAACTCGTCAGAAACTGTTACCAAACTTAGATGGGATGTGCTATCACACCAACCATATTTGCCAGATCGAGCACATCAGATTATTACTTGTTCCAGTCTATACAAATTTTTTTTAACTGTAAGACATTTATTTGAAATGACAATGTCAAAAATCGCTTGGATCANTTGTGAAAGGGAAAAAGTTCTACACTTAGAAACTTCGAAAGAAGGGATTTGGCCTGTACCGTCTGCGGGCCGCATAAACATTGATAGGGGGCCGTATGTGGCCCGCGGGCCACAGGTTGTGCACCCCTGCCTAATCCATTGTAATGTAGCAAAATATTGTTAAATAAATATGGATTATTGAAAGAAAAGCTATATTATTTTCATTTCTGATAAAGTTTTTTTTATTTTAAATTGATTTCTTGAAAAACTTCTTAACACAGTTCTACTGCATATGTGTTCCTATTAGATACTTATGATTAAATTTAACTGCTTCTATAGGAGAACACGTTTTTCATCAATTTAAAAATAACACATTTATTTCATTTATTTTCCTGTCTATGGAAATTGTTTAAATATCAAAGTTCTCAAGTAATAATAATATAAACTTTAACTAAAAATATTCTTGTTAATACAAATCTTTCTGAATATTTTTTCAATTTTATCTTCAATAATGCTTTATTCATACTACAACACATGGTAATTTATATTTAAATATGCATGGCTGAAATTAAGCAAGTAACAAATTTTGGCAATAAATCAAAATTGTCTATAAATTATCTTTTATTCATCCAATGCATTTGTATAGTGTTGTACTATTTATGAGAACAAGAGAGAATATTTCTTTTCCATTACTCAACATTCTGTTTCACATTCATGATCATATATAATTCTTGAATTTAATTTTCTTTAGAAAGAAAATTTTATTTTTTTTATCATGTAATATAAATACATTATATAATATCATAATATACTATTCATCACAATTACTAGAATCATTTCTATGCTGCTAATACCTCTAACCAGTGATACAAACCCTATACATACTAGAGATTAGATAATAGATGATGAGCAGCTAAATTGAAAAATCAACTGACATTGAAACAATAAAAATCTGTCCATTATCAATTGAAAATATGGCATCAGAATACTTAGTTTNGTGAAAAAGTTGGCTGATAAAAATGAAAAATTTATCTTTCTAAATTATTTCTAAATGATTACATTATTTCATAAAATAATGATTACATTATTTTGGTTACTTCATTTCATATCAATACCAGGTTAGTTAGTTAATACACATCAGAAATATTTATAAAATAATTTGAAGTATTTTAATTTTCACAAAATTTTTTTTCTATAAGTTGAATAGTAATGATAAAATGTTAAATCTATAAATATTACAATAAAGCTTTGAGATTAACATAAAAGCATTATATAACTTACTATGCATGTCCAATGTGCATTTCATCATATACTGTTGGCCCACAAGTATACCTAAATAAAAAATAATTTTTAATTTTATGAAGTACAATATTAAGTATATAATAATAAATTCATAATTATAATATAGAAACAATAATTAAATATAAGAAATAAATCTATTTAGTTATCTTAAAGATACTGTGTATATATATACACAGTATATATTTTCAACATTAATTAATTCAGCTATTTTAGGCTTTGGAATGACACTTTAACTATCTTGGTCATCTGGCTATGATATGAAAATTTGGTTATTGAACTATTTTTTGTTTGATTAAAAAAAATCTATCTATAAATATTTTTTATCTATATGTTAGTAGTTTATTTTCTGATGCACAAAATGTTAGTGTTATTAAAAGAAGCATCATTGAAGTAATGAATTGATATGAACTATTGCAGAGAAGTGAGTGTTGACATACAAAAAATACGAAGCAAAAATGTTTTATCCATATGTATTTGTTCTGATATTAAATAATTTATTTTTTCTAAAAATTTCTAAATTAAAACTTTGTATAATAATACATCTTGTATGTATTATTTTTTAATCTTATATTACTAATTTTTTTATTTGAGTTTGTTTCCAAATTGAAAATCAGTTTACATATATATATATATATATGTGTGTGTGTGTGTGTGTAGAGAGAGTTCTTTCAATAATAATTTAGAGCAATATTAAGACCTAGTTCAAAACCACATCAAGCTTTTAAAAGTGTACTTCTCTAAAATGCTACTAGCAAAATAAAGTATCTTTTAGAAGGATTTTTATCAGAATTTCATCTCAATTTAATTTCAATAAGCATTTCAATCATCATTTCTGGTACACAAGATGTTATTTTTCTTATTAATGTCATTAGAATCTTGTCTGATTAACAGTTGTATCTAAAAACTGTTGGTATGCATTAATGCTGAATCATTGAAAAATGTCTTCCTTATATAAACTGACTCCATCTTTTTTTCAAGAAAAGTATCACTGTAAATTTTAGGAAGACATATTTTATTTCAATTACATATTTTTCAAGATATTTCACATCTCATCATCAAATCAAACACTTACCAGTAAAGCCTTTACTCTTACTTAAGCATTCAACCTTCTAAATATTGGTTTCAAATTTCTGTAAAATTATTAACTAATGAAGTATTCTGGTTTTCAAAATATTACTATTGTTAATTCCACAGAAAAAAAAAACAAACTTACTTTCTGAACAACCCAATAATTAGCATTGTGTCTCCTACCATACAATAGGACTACCTCATACTTTTGTTGAGGAAAGTAGTGACTTATGTGAATCCAAAAGCAGCTCAAGAAATTATTTTTAGAAAAATTTACAAATGTATTACACTGTTGTTGGTATAAGATGCTGTGAAAGAACAAACCTACTCTGACAAAATTATGATAAGCTGTTATGAACACAAATATATGTAAATTCTATAGGCACTTCACATCACTTGCAAAAAAATTGAATAATTAAATAATTTCTGGATTAAAATTGTGTTTCTTTACATTATTATTCATAAATGCCTAAATAATAATTATTTTAATAAAATACATCATAATTTTAACCCCAAACACAAAAAAATGAAGAAGTTTAAGCCGAACTTCTACTCGCCATGCTAGATGTAGCAAACACCATTGTCAACTTTCTAGAACTGCCAGATGCTGGCGCTTGATGTCCGACATTCATGTTTTGGGCTGAAAACGTTAGCTGCAACCTCTCTAATTTTGCTCTATTTATACTTATAGATCTACAGCTAATTAAGAAAATGTTTCCAATAGTGCTAAAAACTTTATACTAATCATTTAATTAGCCATATTATAGCCGATATTAAGGCAATCGTTTGGTGATTTATTGTTTCCAAGAGTGCTAAAAACTTATCTTGGTTACCTATATTGTTATTAGTTCTCAATTCCATACTATACTTCTGAGTCTGTAGATTAAGATAGAAGAGAATAAACTCCATTATGGCTTTATCAATCTCTGTTCAACAATTACATCACCATTCAAACAACAGACTGTTTAGATATTATAAAACATTATCAAATGAAATTCTATTTGTAATCATAACATATTTATATAACACATATTGCATGTATAATATTTTAAACTTTGCATTTTTCTCCCTATTAAACCAATTTGTAAATTTATTTAAAAAATACACATTACAGAGAATGTCAAGTTCTTAAACTTCATTGATTTCAACTAAACAATATGAGTGAAAAAGTTGGCTGATAAAAATGAAAAATTTATCTTTCTAAATTATTTCTAAATGATTACATTATTTCATAAAATAATGATTACATTATTTTGGTTACTTCATTTCATATCAATACCAGGNTAAAATTTATTAAATTCTAAAATTCCACACAATTTAAAGTTTAACATTTTTCTGATTTAATACATTGTTCAAAAACATATTTAAAAAAATTTTAGATAGATATTACACAAACAATCATGTCAATATACTGCCTATTTCTAGAAGCAACTATTTGTTCATTCAAAATTGTTAAAATTAAATTTTAGTTATAAGAAATTATGTAACTATAATGTGTAGTAATTATTTAGAAATATTTTTAAAATGTGTTAAAGTTTGTTTGATAATTTTTGTTAATAAGGTTGGTTTTATAATTTGATAGTGATTAAGTATTTTGATAAAAAATTTCATTCAACAGACATTGCAAAACTTTTTTTAAAAGTACTTATTGATATCTTTCATGAAACATAGCTCTTCAAAATTAGTTTTATATATCAAATGTTAAATTATGTATAAGTAATATTCTACTAAAATGATGGAAAAAATTTATTACATTGAAATTCACATTTAATAATGTAAGCCCTTCAGATCAGTGACTAATTGGTTAAGCTGGCAGTACCATCATTTACAATTATTTAAATCTATTATTAAATAAAATGTTTATTTGTTAAATTCAAGATGTCAAAAACCCTATTCTAAAATTGTAATAAAACTTTCATTCAATAAATTTGAGCCTTTGATTATAATCACACAATTTTGAACAGCTTTACTTTGTCAAATATATATGGATAACATGACAGGAATATTTGAAAATTATTCACAAATCAATTTCTATTGAAATTTCTATTTTCAAATACTGTACATACTCAAACAGACCCACTGTAGGTCTATTAATATTATTTTTTAATCTTATATTACTAATTTTTTTATTTGAGTTTGTTTCCAAATTGAAAATCAGTTTACATATATATATATATATATGTGTGTGTGTGTGTGTGTAGAGAGAGTTCTTTCAATAATAATTTAGAGCAATATTAAGACCTAGTTCAAAACCACATCAAGCTTTTAAAAGTGTACTTCTCTAAAATGCTACTAGCAAAATAAAGTATCTTTTAGAAGGATTTTTATCAGAATTTCATCTCAATTTAATTTCAATAAGCATTTCAATCATCATTTCTGGTACACAAGATGTTATTTTTCTTATTAATGTCATTAGAATCTTGTCTGATTAACAGTTGTATCTAAAAACTGTTGGTATGCATTAATGCTGAATCATTGAAAAATGTCTTCCTTATATAAACTGACTCCATCTTTTTTTCAAGAAAAGTATCACTGTAAATTTTAGGAAGACATATTTTATTTCAATTACATATTTTTCAAGATATTTCACATCTCATCATCAAATCAAACACTTACCAGTAAAGCCTTTACTCTTACTTAAGCATTCAACCTTCTAAATATTGGTTTCAAATTTCTGTAAAATTATTAACTAATGAAGTATTCTGGTTTTCAAAATATTACTATTGTTAATTAGTATAAAATACATTTGGCTTGTATTTAAAAATAATGAAAACATTTGCTCTTGTAATAAAGACTCTTAATGAAGAAAATTTAGGAATTTGAATTTATCATGAATTTAATATTTTATTCACATTGATGAAAAATTTGCAAAAATAGTCAAACATTAAACATTGGATATATTGGGGCATTATATGATTACAACATAATGTAATAGTAAGTAAAATCTCTACTGATTTGAATTTGAAGCTGCTCAAAGCCTAAAAAGCAATTCAAAATTTGCGTTCATTCAAATTATTGCTGCATTTTATTGATTCGTATATAATAAGATTATTCCTAAACACAAACCAATCAGCAAAAGGTTCAATTCATCATAGCGCTGTGCTTTCCCTAAATCTATGTTTGTTTGGTGCAATTTTGGCAAAAATATATCATCATTGATGTCATAGGCAATATCAACTCACAAAATTAATATAAAAATAATTTAAAAATACAGTAAAATTTGTTTATTTTTGGTTGCATGTTCCCCTTTCCCTATTTACTTTGGGTTAAAATGACCTCGTTTAACACTTTCATTTAGTGCTTTGTCATCTAGGAATGCATCCTAAGCATTAAATGAGGTCTTACTGTATACATACATACAGTATATCTTTTAAAAATGTATTATTTAATATTCAAACTATATAAACAAGAGTCACATTACTTCAATTCAAACTTCCCCTGAAAGCAGTTAATTATTAGATGACCAGCACAACTCCATTGCTAACAGAAAAGTATGACATACAGGAACAAGACAGTACTAATTTGAGGTGGAGTATATATATATATATATAATATATTTTATATTAAATAAATTAAAAATTGCAGTCCAGCATTGTGATGATGTCACAATAAATAATAGCTGGTTATTTTTAAAATTTATTAAATTCTAAAATTCCACACAATTTAAAGTTTAACATTTTTCTGATTTAATACATTGTTCAAAAACATATTTAAAAAAATTTTAGATAGATATTACACAAACAATCATGTCAATATACTGCCTATTTCTAGAAGCAACTATTTGTTCATTCAAAATTGTTAAAATTAAATTTTAGTTATAAGAAATTATGTAACTATAATGTGTAGTAATTATTTAGAAATATTTTTAAAATGTGTTAAAGTTTGTTTGATAATTTTTGTTAATAAGGTTGGTTTTATAATTTGATAGTGATTAAGTATTTTGATAAAAAATTTCATTCAACAGACATTGCAAAACTTTTTTTAAAAGTACTTATTGATATCTTTCATGAAACATAGCTCTTCAAAATTAGTTTTATATATCAAATGTTAAATTATGTATAAGTAATATTCTACTAAAATGATGGAAAAAATTTATTACATTGAAATTCACATTTAATAATGTAAGCCCTTCAGATCAGTGACTAATTGGTTAAGCTGGCAGTACCATCATTTACAATTATTTAAATCTATTATTAAATAAAATGTTTATTTGTTAAATTCAAGATGTCAAAAACCCTATTCTAAAATTGTAATAAAACTTTCATTCAATAAATTTGAGCCTTTGATTATAATCACACAATTTTGAACAGCTTTACTTTGTCAAATATATATGGATAACATGACAGGAATATTTGAAAATTATTCACAAATCAATTTCTATTGAAATTTCTATTTTCAAATACTGTACATACTCAAACAGACCCACTGTAGGTCTATTAATTTAAAATCCATTTGGGATATGGGTTAATTCAAACTATTTGGAGCAATTCAATTTGTGGGTTTATTTTTCTAATATCAGTTTTTGTTTGTGTTGATGTAAGTTAATATTCTGTTGTTCTGTTCAAGTTGCCAAAATATTAATATTCAATGTAAAGGATCTGAAGATGGAATGGTAAAATCCTAAGTACTTAATTGTATTAAATAGTTGTGACTCTAAACTTTTGATCACTTTAGAAAGAAATACTCAGAGTTGTTTTCCTGTTTTTTGTTTACAGTAGTCAATAGCTAAGAAAATATGATTTAAATAAATCTATGCAAGTTTATTCAAATCCTGTAGATTTTTTAAATGTAATTGGAATATGAATTTATTCAAGCCTCTAAAGTAATTTAAAACCTGTGGGTCTAATCAAGTGTGTCCAGTATAACATTCGTTTTGATTCAGTGGCGTACTGTAGTGGGGGCGGCAGGGGTGACCCGCCGGGCGGCACTTTTTAGGGGGCAGCAAAATTTCACAATAAATAATAATAATATCTCATAAAAATTTGAACCATCCTAATCTATATTTGCGTCGTGCCTACGATAGTGCTATTGTCCGGACAGTCCGGGAATCAGCTCGCCGTCCAGGTGAACTAGTAATTTTTTCATCCAAGGAAATCCTGCGTAACCTGTTGACCTTTTTTTTTTGCTTGTACGGTTCATTTGCATTCATATACACCACTGATATCCAATTTTAAACAGGTCGCTGCACTAGCACAGAATTTTTCATTGCTTGTTCTGTGACAAAACTGAATTTTAGTCTTTTAAGTTGAAATACCTAAATAAGAGGGCGAAATTTTCCTCCGCCCCGGGCGGCTGACACCCACGGTAAGCCATTGTTTTGTTTTTTTATTTTTGTACATATAATTTACAAATATAAAATATTTAAAATTAAATTCGATCAGCTTTAGTTCAGAATAATTATGTTGTGAACTCACCAATAAATCACATTCTCATTTTGTAAAATGAGAGGAACATTTGACTTGGTCAGCCTGTTATAACAACTAATTCCTGTGTCATATCCATGTGGACGTTTCCATCCTTCACAATTATTTGATAAATGTCTACACAAGTGTTTATGTTTAATTCGTAGTAAACAAGATCGAATTCTGTAGATAGTGGAATATAAAGTCCTATGAATATTCATAACTTGAATATATACTGAAATAAAATTTATATAAAATTTGTAATTATTGCAATAAAATTTTTGAGATATTAGATGAATTTATTACAGAAAATATCTGAAAGTATAGTATTTTCAATAATATCAGTGATAACTCAAATGCTGTACTTTAGCTCATATTGGCAAAGAAATACATTTCATCATCGAACTTGGCGCTACTGAAGCTTAATTTTCAAACGTTGCCATCCAATAGCAAATAAGTACAAACTTTTTTAACTTTTAGGTAATAATTGGCATTTCTAATAAATTTAAATTATCCATATAATATTTATAAATAATAATGATAACTTTTCTTTAAAAAGAAACAAATGAAATTACTCATTATGGGTAATAAACAGGTTAAGGCTGGATGAGGCTGGTTGACCGCTAGGTTGAGGCTGGATGACCACGCGGTCAGGATGGTAACCTACCGTTCTGGGGACTCGGGTTCAGTAGCGTAGCGTGGGTGTCAGCCGCCCGGGGCGGAGAAAAATTTTACCGCCTCCTTATTTAGGTATCTCAATTTAAATGACTAAAATTCAATTTCGTCACAGAATAAGTAATGAAAAATTCCGTGCTCATTTCAATCAGTCCGAATCGTAGGTGCGACAAAAATATGAAATGAAATTATTATTATTTATTGTGAAATTTTGCCGCCCCCTAAAAGTGCCGCCCGAGGCGGGCCGCCACTGCCCGGGTTCAAAGCCGGACATGATCGATAAATCCCCAGGAATTTTTGGGGGATGGTCCGACCGGATATGTCAACCCCGTTCTTTTTATTTTTATAAAATCCGTCCATCACCATTGTGGATCTAGCCGAACCCATAATGGGCTTGCTAAAACAGGTCCTCTTAGTGCCCACAGGGCAGAAAGCGTTAACAATAAAAAAAATACTCAACCTAGCAGAAAAATCCTTAATCAGCATCAAATCCATCCATCACTTACAATTATCAATAGTTTACAACTCCATAGCTAGGCACTAACAAAAGTAAGGTGATCAGACGTCCTACTGGAATGACTAAATGTCCCAATTTCCGCTTGAAGAATAAAAATATAAGGCAACAAGCTCAACAAGTTGACCTCATTGCCATCTGACGGTCTATCTATAAATATAATGTACGTGTATTGTACAGTACATTCATGAGCAGGCATTCATCGTAGTAGAAATGCGTGCTGAAGTATATTGCCACATCACGAGAGAATAAGCTTCTATCGGCAAATTTCCAGGAATAGTTTTTCCATGCCAGGTGAGCAGCCTGCGGACGAGAAACTTGAAACGAAAGGCGCGTCCAGAAAACAATGTGCAGGGATGTTTTAAATTTAACACATGGGAGAACCTAGCATTCGACAGGAGCCTCAAAATGACATTATACACTAAAACCCGGTGAAGATGTTTCCTCACGAGATGTTTCCCGCCTAAGTTGTTCAAATTCTTTGGTCCTGTTATTTCGCCTATAAGACGTGGTAAAAATTCCCGCGTAAGATGCGCAAGAAATGTTATAAAATATCGGTTTCATGAAGTAATTTTTTACAACTTAAAATGATCATGACTGTGACCAATAGTGTTCTCAGAAACTGCATGAATAGAGATCCTATAGTTTTGAAAGAAGGGCGACGTAACGTTCGATATTACTGAAATAGATATTACTGATAAACTGAAATACGAAATAGAAAATTTCGGTATAGGAAATCTATACCGAAATTTATGAAGTTAATTAGTTTAACGGCGCATACTAATGAACTTTAAAATTGAAATTTTAGAAATTTATATTACAAATGAAATTCGTTAAAACCACAGTTATTCAACTGACTTTTTTCTAAACAATCACAGAAATAAATTTATTTTGAAATAGAATAATTTTTTAATTCAAATTTAAAATTGTTTGCGGTTTAAATTTACCAGCAAATCAAAATTATAATTTCAATTTCCGGACGTTAAAAAGAGTGGGAAAATGGTTAAAAATCATTTAACTGTTGATACTAGAATCAAACTTAAAAACAGTATAAATAGACAGTATCCGTCTGATATCTCTACTTTCTAACGAAGTTCTATTCGTCTTCTCATATTATAAGTACTGTACATGTGGGATGTCCATAAAGTCCGTATGCAATTTTAAAAACTTATAACTTTATTAGTATTTGTGACAGAGAAATTATGTAGAATGTATTGGAAATAAGAAAATCTATATTTTTTATTGTTTTATTTTATTAATTTAATTAATTTTGCAGTGGCAGCACACTTCTAAAATCTCACGGGACAGTAAAGTGCGTGCACTTTAGTGTCCCGTGAGATTTGACCTTTGTAGTTATATAAATCAAATACTATAATGTAATATAATAGAAGGGTTAGAAGTAATCTATAAGATTACTTCTAACTCTTCTATTATAAGAAATACGTAATCTATTAGATTATTTCGTACGAAATAATCTAATAGATTACGTATTTCGTACTTCTAATACTCGACATATAAGTCGACATAAATTTAGTACAAGATATACGCTGAGAGCATACAATTAAGTTTCTCTTGATTTAGAAGTAAAAATAGTATTTCGCATTTGTCAGAACTATTTATAAAATGATTAATTTTATACGTACCGTACATAGATACCATACATAGGAATTTACCAGAATAGAATTATATGGGAAAAAAACTAGTTCTAAGTTGCCACTAGATGTAAAAGTTTGGTTGTATTTAGAAGAAACATTATAAAATGTACTTATTTTCTTGTAAATAACGAAAACAGTTTATGGAAATCAAATCATCGATGTAAAAAATTAATCGTAAATCTATAAATAATCTATTATAAAATATATTATTTTGAAATTACAATTAATCAAATAATGAAAACAAATTATCAGTAAATTTTATATAAGATTAATTTAAAATGATGCATTTGTATTCCGCTGAATATAGCCTACTAATACTAATTTTATATCTGATCACGATTTTTAATGTCCGAATGCCCTCCACGAGTTACTGAAAAGCAGAATTTACATTTCACTTTGTCAACATGATCACAGACTTTTTCAAAAATGGATAATCCTTTTTTAATTCATCAGTAAATGCACGGTTTATTTTTGGCATTTTGGAGATTAAATTAATTTAACGCGCACTACAAAATAATCGCAAATGCCGACTAGCAATTTGAACTCGACATGCGAAACGTGCCAGTGTAAGTTTCAGTCATGTTAACTCTAATTGAAACAAAATAATTAAAAAATTAAATAAAAACATCTAGATCTCATAGGCTACATGCTATAATAAATTAAAAGTACTTAGATCTAGATATAAAATATTTAGATTGGCAACAGGGAGTGTAACAGAGAGAATATTATAGTTGCCAAATCGCTATTTTAATCGAGGCTGTGCTATTTTTACTTCTTGTATATTTGGCATTTTTGAAATTTTACTACATAACCAGGATAAAATGACAAACTGGCTGGGACGAAAGGACCACATTATCAAACCGGGACTGTCCCGGTCAAAGAGGGAGTCTGGTAAGCCTATGTAATAGTAAAATAAGTAAATAAATTTGCATTTTACTGTTTTATTTTATTACATATGATGAAAATATATTTAGGAAAATCATAGCTTATCCTCTGATACATTTAAATAGCCATAGAAATTTAATCCAAATAAAGACAAACATATTTTTAAAATAATTTATTAACTTTAACACTACATAAAGTGTGCTATACAATTTTACTTGATTCAGCATAGTGAGAAATAGTATTTGGGATGAAATATTTTTGAATTTTTTTACACGAGAAATTACATTTCTTATGACACTCTCATTGGCTCTACACATTTGGATAATTTATATAATCTTCTGCATTATCAAAAATAGAATATGAATGAAGATTTGTTGATGGCCTACTACACCTGTCCTTTGTTTATATAGGTTTAAAATATTACTAACAGCACAGTACAGTACTTAAATCTTACAGCCGATTGCAGAGACAGGGTCGCTAGGTCAAAGTTCACGCGTTTCCCATAGTTATTTTACTTTTATCACTTAATTTTATTTTTATAAGGATAAAATTGTATTGAAACGAACGATTTTTATCCAAAACGTTATGCGGAATAACAAAAGCTCAAATTTACGAGAATTAAAAATTTATAACTATATTAATAACGGCGTATTGAAAGCGTTCAGTCGGCGGACGTCGCGCCGCCGAGCGCGTACCGAAGAATACCGTACAGTACGTTATCGTATTAGATTTTGATGTAATAAGACAATCCAAACAAAAACATGTAAGATGTAAAAAATTACGCCAAGTAAAATTTATGACAATTTGGATGACAGTCAAATTTTTCTTAGGAGTTTTTTTTTTTTTTGATGAAAATAAGCTTGCCGCCTTTAAGCTGGCAACACTGTATTTAGCAAATATTTGAAAGATCAGTACGATATGGAGTAAAAGTGTTTTTTTAATATTTAACTCGTTTAAATGAAATTTGTTTTATTATATGTGGAATATATTTGAATGTGACAAAAGGATAATGAGTCACGGCAGTTCAGCAAGTAAAGTTGGAGAGATATTCACCGCAGCTGGAGCAGCATTCACAAAATTAGGAGAATTGACTATGCAATTGCATCCTGTATCCGAATCTTCTCAATCAGGAGGAAAATGGACTGACGAAGAGATTGAAATGTTGAGAGTTGCAGTGAAAAGATTTGGTGATGATTTAAATAAAATCAGTAGTTTTATTAAAAACAGAACTATTAATCAAATAAAAAATAGCATGAAGAGAAAAACATTTGAAGAAGCTGGTGTACCTGTTAGAAAATCAGTAGCTACAATCAAAACGTCACAAGAACAATCACGAACTCTGACATCATCCACAAAATCTGTTGAGATGACCCTTAATATGTTAAATGCCACTGAACCAGAAGTAGATGTGGAAAGTTTGGGAGCTTCGTCAAAATTAGATTATGATAGTTCATCTGAGGCACCTTGAACTAAAAAAACAATAAGTTTTTGCATTTGTTATCTGAATGCATTGAATGATAGGAAGACTATTAATATGGATAAATCTGTCAATTGTATCAGATTTAAATTTGATTATAAATTGGAGAATAAAACTGGTGTGACAAATTTTAAATTTTTTATTTCTGATGATTGTTTCTATTTTTGTTTGAAACATTTTTTAATGTTTCTTTGTACAAATTAAATTGTAATAAAACCTTAAGTGTATTTATCAAGTGCGAATTACTACAGTGAAACCTTGTTTATCCAGCTTAAACAGGGCTGGACCTAACTGGATGGCCAACAATCCAAAACATTTGTTAATTAATATGTATATATTATATATATGTTACAGTGAATGTGAAATTAATAGTTCATTTTAAAACAAATTTACATTCGATGATATACTCTTGCTAGTGAGTTTGTTAACCTTTATCAGCTGAAATCGTGAAAAGTAAATTTAAAATAAAACGAAAAAAATCTTTTAATTAATGTTTTTATTTATTGCAGCATGTCAGAGTTATGATATTTAGAAGTGTATATAGTGCCATTCTTGCATTTACTTTTATAGTCTAATATTTCAAAATTCAAGAACATTTGAAAAAGCCTTATCCTTATTGCAAGATTGGGCAGATGTAATCATCCTTAAAGCAATAGTTATGTCTAAGGAATTTCACATTCAGCAATTAATTTTTCAGGACAAGCCAAAAATTGAGATCTTGTGAATACTATAGTACAGATTCACTGGTTACTTTAGTGAAAGTGTATATTCACTGATCATTGCTTTCACTGTAACATATACATTTTATTTTATTTTTCTAATTTCATCATCATAACAACAACTTTCTTTTAGATGTCATATTCATGGTGTTTACTTCACAAAAGATTGAAGGTAGCTAAAACTCAGAAAAACAGTAGTAGCTATGAGTGTTGAGTGAATAATAACTCATGAGGTTACAAATGATAAACTTATTAACATATTGATTGCCATGAGAAGCACATTTTTATTCAACATGAAAGTAGAAATTTTTTATAATGAGATTGGAGGGGACAAGTCCCCAGATGAAAGGTGATGACACAGAAGGAGATGAAGAGTGAGTTTGTTCATTCATCACACTGGTGACCCTTCACCATAGTGCCACTGCTGCTGATCTTAGTTTCCTGACTGTGCTGATCCCTCACAACTCCACCTAGAAGAACAGTAATTCCCTACTGTGGGTATGCAAAGAAAAAATAATGGCAGATGTACTATAAGAATATTGGAATCTGCATTAAGGCCTTTTGCAACTTCACATAACTTGAATTCAAAAAATTGATCTGAGGTTTAAATACCTGTATACAATTTATTATTAGTCTTTTTTTATTAACCAACTCCAAAGAGCAATAGTGTATAAGTAGAAAAGTGGATAAAATACCAAACACTAAACATTTTTGTCTATACAAATAATCTTTTAATCTTCATCAATTTAGTGGCCCTGTGTACTTTCTTTGCCATGTCACTACCATTTATTTATAGTTGCAACAAGTTTAAAATACAACTATATGAAGTACAAACATTTTTCTAATGTAAGGGGTACAGTTTAGAAAAATGGGCTGCCAAGGGGTACACAAGTCAAAAAAGGTTAGGAACTGCTGACCTAGAACCCAATTGTACCATGACAAGTTGGATATGTGGGCTGACCTCTACAAGTTGAAGCTATTACACTTTCAAGAATGGATGTCCCAAAAGGCCTCATGAACTCCACCTAGACCAGGGCTGCCCAATTTATTTTGGAGGCAGGCTATAATTTCAATTACATGTCAGCCAATGGGCCACCTAGTAAATCATACTTGCTTACACTCATGATTCTTCTATAAATGGATAGGTATTTGAATCAAACAAAGCTTTAAGTTGCACATGTTTTAATAATATCTAATAAAAAATACATCAATGAGACCTAAGAAGGAGCTTATTAGCTAATAATTTTTCAATATTTGGTGACAACAATTTAATTTTAATACACAAAAGTCAACTCAAAACTAATAGAACAAGTGTAATAAATGCATAAGTTAGGTATTAACAGTAGCGTGGTGGGTGACTCAAGCCATAGTTCATACATGATTGTTCGACCAATCGATCAATCATGTAGCGGTTGGCATTATTGATAGCATGACAATCATGCATGGTGACAGCCGACTACTACTGTAGGCAGACAAATTCAAATGTGTTGGCAGGCCACTTTGTGGCCCGCAGGCCTGGGTTTGGGCAACCTTAACCTAGACCGAAGAATTCTGTGACAATGACTTCCATGACTCACCTGGAGATTGCCAGATATTGAAGTGATACTACAGGTATTTATCATCATGTGCAATATCTGTAAACTCTCTTTCTCTCAGCAATAGGTGCATAAGGGAGAATTAGACTTATATTTTTAGTTTGTGATTGTACTTGTTCGATATGCTTCAGAAAAAATAAATGTTCGTTGTTCAATAGTTAACCAATCTAAAGTGCATTACTTCCAGGTTCTCTGTCTCAACTTCTTCCTCTGTCCCTACCATCAGTTCCCCCATGTGACCGCTCACGCATTATTGGAAGGTTAAGAAAGGAACCTGTCACTTTTCTCACTCAGACCTGACCTGATGGGCACTGTTGGCTTTTCACATAACAATTCAAAAAGACATTTCTTGATTATAATATAATTATTAGAAAATAAAGTTTTAGTTTTAAAATTATTTTGTATTTTTATGGATATTAAATATATACTTTTAATCATTTCAGATACTTTTTACATATTCTAAATAGGTTCAAAGTATTTTTAATACTGGTACTTTGAAATATTTCTACACAAAGAATTCAGTATTAAAATTTACAAGTGCAATATTTCTGGTACCAATTATCTTCAAATACTCTACCTTCTGGTACTTAATCTGATTATGTGGTATTTATATTTGAATAGTTGTTCTGTCCAACTCAAGTTAATATACACACCTTAAATGGAGATTTACATAATGTATACATTAATTAATAATCACCCATTAACAAAACATATATTAATTGACTAATTATATTCAATGTAGAAAAAGTGCAGTGATCTTTCAAAGACTAAATAAATGAGATTTTGATTAGATTCAGCAAAATTAATTTATTTGCTTATGCAAAACTAATGTAACAAAAGGAAGGATGATTATAATGCAAATTAAATTGTTCACATTATAGCTCATTATAATTGTTATTTAATTAATAAACTTTTTATAATGTAACTAGCTGCAAGGATCCGCTTCGCTGGGCAAAAAGTAACGATAGTGAAGATTAAGTGGTCCGTATGGCCATTTTTGAAAAAAATTTTTTTTTTGAATTTTTGGAATGTTTTTTAGGTCCCCAAATTTTTTCAAAATTTTTTGCCCGCGCGAAAAAATTTTATCGCGATTTTAATAAGCCTTTGATAAGGTTCGATTAAGGCTTAATTGTTTTTTAATGGGAGTTTTTTATCAAATTTATTTCATGGTTCCTAAGTTGTAGTGCACGGATTTTCCTTCGCTAAAGTTATATAAAGCTAGTTTCTGATGTCAAAAACGACCTCCGATAGTTTTTTAATTTTTTTAATTAATCGATTTTTTAATATATTAATTTAATTAATTAGGGGGGGTCGGAAATCGCAATAAAATTTTGAATTTTTTAAAAATATTTAAAAATATAGGTGTCGGTCGAACTCACCCTACTTTAAACCTTTGACCTCCCGCGGCATATATGAGAATGTCCCGGGAAATCCAACTCCAGCTGTGTAAACAATGACTTATCGATGTAAATTTCACAGAAAGGCGAGACAAAGGAAAATAAAATTTGAAGCTTTTTCTTCAAAATTAACGCATTTCTTTCGTTTTTTTTTCAGTTTTAAGTATTTTTAATGTATTTTATTAATTAAATTAATCTAATATTAATTTAATTAATGATCGAGAATGAAGGGGTTAAGATAATTACATTATAGCTAATCTTACCCGTTTTCACGGAATGCAAGAATTAGGTCCCCGTTTCCAGACTAATTAGAGAATTTTTACGTTTAGTCAAACGAACTATTTTCAACGTTTTGAATCGAACCAATATTCGAATTTTATGTTCGAATTTAATTCGAACAAATTCCAACAAATTCGAACAAAACATTCGAAATAGAAAGCCACTTTCAACCACTTCAGCCTCATATCTCCCGCACCCTTATATAGTGCTGTGCGATGCATCGATGTGACATCGACACATCGATGTTTTTGTTCGTCGATGCATCGACCTTCCGATGTTTTTGAAACATCGATCCTGAATCGATGTTAGCAATATGTGAATTTTGATTCATCGATGCATGCAGTTCATTCTTTGTTCCTAGTGTTACCACCTGTTCGGTTTTCACCCGGACAGTCCGGGAATTTCATAGAAATTGTGAAATTGCGATGAAACAAAGTTCTTGCAAATATGTTTACAAATTTACACTATTTTAACAGTGAACGAACTCACACTCATTGAAACTCATCC